TAGAAAAGAAAAACAAACAAAAACCTGTGTAGTTCATAATTAAAAAAACGGATTGTGATCGAAGGAAAGAAGTGGAAAATAATAGTTTCAAGTGGTCTGATAGTATCGTGCTCACCACAAGAACTGAAGGTCTGATTTCAACCTTATGTGGAATCAAGATTTCCCATCGTCGATGAGCCTCGAACAAGGGTGAAACACGTATTCAATGATCGATATTCTTAGATAGTCCCCTAACCCTGAACTAATTCCTCAACTGAAACTATTTTCAAACAACACTGATATTAGTAATAATCAATATATTTTTATCATATATTTGCTTTACACTTGAGAAACAAAAGACGGTGAGATCACGGAAACCGAAGTGAATACCAAATATCTACAATTCCCGATTTTTAATGTGTCCAGATTTTAATTAAATTATTGGAAGTAAAATCAAATGGAGTGATTAAGAGAACAGTTTTTAAGAATAAACTAATCAGTAGAAATTAACAAGGTTCTAATAAGTAGTACTATAGGTGCAAATGATGAAAAAGGTAAAGAACAAAAGACGATTAGTATAACAGATTTGATCGACGCATTGAAATAAAAAAATAAACGTATAGGATAATAAGTTTTCTGCAACCGACCAGTTTCCCCCATCATAATGATTGGGTCGTAGAATTATGCAGATATAACCAAACTACTTAATAATTAGCTAGTAATATTACACAAATACACAAATTCAGGGAACAGTGGAAAAATCTAGAAATAAACAAAATCTAGAACAACATATATAAGCGAACAATATTGTTTTCGATTAGATCCTCATCAGGTTTTACTTTAATATACAGTAATATTTATATGCATATACGAAATTATTAAACCAATCAAGGCAGTTTATGAGTCAGTAATAACAGTGGAATAGATTACAAAACTAAAAATAATAATAAGTGTAAAGTACAAATCGGTAGTGTAATGACAGGTGTACTAGTTGTGATAAGAATACTGAAGACTTGAATCAATGTTACATAATAGGAAAATAGGTCAATGATTAGAAAATATAGACACTGAAATAACAATCATAGAAATTATAAGATTACACCTGTCATTGCACTATCAATTTGTACTTTTCACTTCTTATTAATTTTGATTATGTAATCTATTCCACTTTTATCATTAACTCATAAACTGCCTTGATTGGTTTAATAATTTCGTATATGCATATAAATATTACTGTATATTAGAGTATAGCCTGATGAGGATCTAATCGAAAACAATATTGTTCGCCTATATATGTTGTTCTAAATCACAATATAGGAATTTTTCAAATAAACAAAATCAGCAATGAGTGTCAACACGAGAGTCACGAATCTGTTCTATGCTCTTTAGATCTTTCAAGTAATTCAACATATAGATCTACACTAGACCAAAAAAGTCATATATGGGGATTACTATGAAGAAAATATACAAAATTTGAAAAACATGTTTCGTACAACTAACTGGGAATTATTTACAGATGACTCACTAGAAAACACCACTGATGTTATCACCTGTTATCTTAAATTCTGTTTTGATATTTGCTGTCCTACCGAAACCTTATTTTTAAGTTTTGATCGACTTACATCTCCACAACTAAAACGACTACGGAGAGTAAAAGAAAGAACGTACAAGGAGAAAAACACATTAGAAGCGATAAGCAGCTGAATGTTTTTGCAGACCATCAACGTTGATGATCTATGTCGAATGATTGGAGGCCTACGTGAGTAAGACAAGAACGGTGAAACGAACAAGCTAACTTCGAAGTCACACCTCGCGAACAGCACCTTACATAGATTGCCCCATCGACGTATCAAGGGACCATGGATGCTCTGAAGACTGTACAACACAAAGGACGTTATTACAGGAATATATTAGTTAAATAAATACAAGCGAAAGTAGAACCACTGCCGCATGGGCCAGTCCATGGCGTATGATTAACTGATGTGCGTTGATTGTCCTTGACCTTGACGGGGATCGGTGATCTGTTTGATGTTTTGTGACCCAACTACTGGATGATTTGGCTAGGGTTCAGTGACATTTAATTGGCCCTACATTTGCGACTTAAAAAAGTCTTTCGTACGTCAGTCATCTGATGTCATACTCCCCAAATATCCGCCCACAGGTTCGAAGAATAGTCGTGTTCCTAGTTTCACTGAAAATAATGTCCGAAAATGTCTCCAGTCACTTAATTCATCCCAATGTTTGGGACCTAATGGCACCCCAAACCTTTTTTTTTTAAATGTGCTGACGTTCTATGTTATCCATTCACGAATATCTTTAACAGATCCTTCTCAACTAACCTCATACCGAAAATGTGGAGAAAGATAAAGATAATCCTTATGCCTAAGTAAGTATCTGGTGATAAAAATGTGAAACTTAGACCCATAGCAATAACTCCACTTTTCCTCAAAATAATGGAAAAGTTATTGATACAACCACTTCAACCTGCAATAAAAGAGCACTGTGATCCATTTCAGTTTGCTTACAAATGCAAAAGAAGTACATTAGATGCCGTTGCTGTTCTGCATCACAATATAGTGTTCGGGTTGGAAAAGGGTAAGAAGTATGTTAGATGCGCTTTCCTGGACTTTACTTCTGCTTTTGATACTATTCCAAGACACCTCTTACTTAACAGGCTGATCAGCATCGACACTGACAGCTGGATAACCCATTGGCTATGTTCCTACCTCTCTGGAAGAGAACAGTATACCGTGTTTGTAGGAAAGTGTTCAACATCTCTACTGTCTAATGAAGGTGTGCCACAAGAAGCTATTCTTTCATCCCTCTTTCCCTTTTTTATGTATGATCTGCCATCTCTCAAAGTAAACACCTTTGTGAAATATGCGGGTGACCTCATTGTATGTATGCCAATTTCTAACTTCTTATATCCCATAGAAATGAAGGAGTTTTTGTCTCGTATTGAATGGTGGTCTGTTGATAATAGTCTCTTACTTAATCCTTATAAATATCAAGCTGTTAACTTTAGCCTGAGACATGGACAGCACCTAAACATCAATTCGGGATCCCATAATGCTTGTGCTATTGGAGGCTCATTGATAAACAGAGTATCGACGGTCAAATATCTTGGTGTTACTTTTTCCTCTGATCTCTCTTAGTCTTCTCATGTTTTACTGTCATCGAAAAAAGTTCACCGTTTGACTTACTACATAAAGAGGTTGCATGCTACTGGGATTACTCGCCATTTACTCTTACAATTTGTAAATTCCTGCATATTACCTATTATTCTATATTGTTCTCCATTATTCTTTCCTGGGCTTTTGAGAAAAGACTTTGCTGTTTTGCGTAGAGTGCTGAAGGCGGTTTGCAAGGTATGTGGTGAATCTTTTGAAGTCATTGTTAATATGCTTGTGGATAGACATCTTAAGTTTTGCAAACTCTTGGCAGGTTTTATCTTATCAGATACTAACCATCTGCTTCATTCATAACTTTCTCCTTGTATATCTTCTGGTAGAAGGAGACGTAAATACATTAAAATCCATGCACGCAATCAAATCTATAAAAGTTCTGTAATACCTTACTTAGAAAATTTACTTTGTGACGAACAGGCTGTTAGAGTTGACCTAGTAAATAACCTGTATTCTTAAGCATGTCTCAAATTTGATAATTTGTATAAACTCAGATTTTCTTAAACCTTTTTCATTCCTTTTCTGTTTGTTTTTCTTGAGTTTTTTTTGGTAAAAAAACTGTTGAAATAACTCGTACTGAGAATTCTATATTGTACCAGATTATAATATTGAATAAAGCCATTAATAATAATAATAACATAGTCAAGTATTCAATATATTTTATTTTTCAATATGATTACATATGATTACACATCGACAGTCACAGAATGTAATGGAACCAAATCTAAACGAATAGATTCAAATAACGTAGCAGAATATTGATCAGTGTGAAATAGGTGCAATGGTGGTTTAATGATCAAATTTTTGAGAAAAATGTGGACGATGCAGTGGGATCATTGACAACACCATCTCATAAATTGCCTCACCGTAACGCATGCATATAATGCCAGTGAACATCGGTATTAGTAAATATCGACATATGCACAGAAAGCGATTAATCCACCGACCAGGACGTTGTAGTTTATTAATTGACTGGATCATTGTGCTTCTTTCGTTTAAATGTGGATATGGTATATCCGATGGTGGAATAGGGAAGCCTAAGAATTCACACAATGGTTTCCAACCTTGACTTGAGTCGAATACTAATAGACGATCAGAAGGAATACTTTTAATAACCTCTTCATTCCAATCAGTATAGACATTTTTCAACTGTTCATCTGTCGCTTTGTAAAAACATCTTCCTAAAGTCTGCTTCTTAACAGAAGTGAGAAATAAACTGAGAGGTAGGAAATATTTATTTCAATATCTATGCCCATCTATAGACATCCTTAGGATGGATCTTTAATGCTACATTTTATCAGTTTTAATTCATCCATCTTCAGAAACAGGAAGCAGTCCGATATACTTAGTTTATTTTTCACTTCTGTTAAGAAACGTCTAAAAACTAATTCATGAAAGTCTAATTGTATCCCAGTTTATAGAAATAGGTCAAAGATCTTAAGTATACCTTTAGCTAATTATGAAAATATGCGAAACTTTTTTGGACAGTTAGTTACACTACTTTCTTCAACTCTTTACCATTGTTTTACTATTGTGATAAAATGGAATTCAATAGACGGTCTACATGGTTTAAGATAGTGGCTTTTCGTTTTTCAAATTTTTACAACTATAGACAACACAGACATATTGAGACCTTCAAAAATATTTTCATCATAATGAGTTTAATTAAAAACATTTGAGTGTGGGATGTGATTGTTTTTATCTTCTCATCTCAACTAAGGAATGTCCAAGTAGAATTGAAGAATCGAAAATCCTATAAATATAAGAGACCAAGCGAAAAGTCTTACCATCTAAGTACATAGTTATTCAAACTGACTGAACGAGAAGAAGTGAGAGATGAATACAACTGTTGAATATTCAAGCAAACTATTTGATGAGACTGATGGCGAAGAGGATAGCGATATCGAGACAAGTAATATCGATGCGACTGAACGCAATAATATGAGGAAATTAAAGAAGAAAGAAATCGCTTGTCCGCTCATTTTGACTGGAGATCATGGTGAGTTTGTATGTTAATGCAATTTGATAAAATACTCAATCATCCCCTTCGCAAACTTACCGTACTTTTACGAATCAGTCTTCTGGTTTGATAATAATAGTATGTGTTATTTTTTAATAAATGAGTTGAACGATTACATTTTAAAATTGATTTTGCATGGTAAGTCAGTATTTTGTCTTCATATCTCGCCTCATGTACTCCAGTTGTGTTAAACAGATGATTATCATTTACCATCTTGACTTTATATGCCTCGTGATTAACAATATGTCTGGTAACGTGACTATCTGTTTGGATAAAACACATTTATATCAGATAGTACCATGAGAAATTCGACGTAATGGTGATACTGATAAGGATGTTCTTTCTTCGTAACTAAATTATTTACAAATAACACAGAGCATAAATCGAACGTCAATTTTTTAAGTTTTGTATACCAAATTTTGGATATCACAAACGCTCAATTTACAACTAACCGAAATATTACATCTTTGACTAAAACTATTTTGCTCATTGTAGAACACCTGATTAATATCTACGGAGTGGATTCTCAAATGAATTTTGGTCTACAAGTAATTGGAGCCGGACTTATGCGTTCCGGAACAACTAGTCTGAAATTCGCTTTGGAGTATCTATATAAGAAACGATGCTATCATATGCGAGAATTAGTACTTAATATTCGTGAACCACATATCAAATTATGGTTGTGGGCAATAGAACAGGATAGAGAGAAGAAGGAAATACCTAGAGAATTTTGGTCACATATCTACAATGGTTTTGTGGCTGCAGTTGATTATCCAACTGCCGGGTTTTATGAGCACTTGTCAAAGATTTATCCACATTCAAAGGTAAGTTTTTTTATTTCATATGTAGTTTTCTTGATTGTTTCGAATTCAGTTAGTCTAGAATTAGTTACATCTTCTGAGTATATCTATTTAGTCAGTGTTATACGGACTTAAGAAGCGAATTGACGAAATTTGATATTTGAATATCAGTACAAGCGACAAAAGGATTTTTTATGATGGCATAAACAAAACATCAATCTTATCGGGGTATGAATCTTTCCCTGATCACCGATATGTTACACTTGGTAGATGGTTCAAGAACAAATGGTTGCATTTTGTCGGATCAGTATGTCCTGTTAATCAAATCTTAGGAATATACTGAAGAGTAAATTAGATTTAGTTTGTAATTCATCTAAATAGTCGACTTCAGTCCTAATACAAATAAGAGAATGACCATATGTGTGCTTGTACAATCATTTGCTACAGTCTAATGTTATGTTGGTTTGCTATGATTGATACTTCAAAATTCTTCGTTTATTCACGAGCAACATTCCTGTTGAAGGTGATAACTCTAGTACCGAACGTTCCGTTTATTCATTACTTTCTATTAAAAGGATGTTATGGTATTTACGACTAACGATTTAGGTTGGTTATGTTAGTAGTATGATTCTAGTCGGTTGAAAGCAGGCCTATTGGAATAAGTTCGTTTGCATCACTCAAAGTTAGCATTGAACATATGCATACATATCAGATTTTCGCCCTACTATTGTTGTTGACGTTGTTGTGGTTGTTGATGTTGTTAATGAAGAAGTATTACTAATCAGCTACAATCAAAACAATAATAATGACACTTTTAAAACCAGTGATTAGATTTATTCATCTGATAGACTGTCGAATTATACCCTTGTGACAAGTTTGGAGGTAGGCAACAAACAATCGAATACACCGTTCCAGTAGTATTGGTGTGCCTCCGTTGCACGTCTACAACCCCATAACCATTTCATCCAACCACAATCGAAATGTCTGATGTCATTCCACATAAATCTAGAATGAACAGACAATAACGTTGCAACTAATTTTTGGCAATCAATGTTTATTACAGCCATCTATGTCATCATCTTTACCATCATTAAGCCTATGATTCACAAAATCTAAGCAAAATTGATATATAAACTTAAACCAATCCGTCTACTTGTTTATCAATTGTTAGATTATTTTAACTATTCGTGATCCAGATGATTGGGTTAAAAGCTGTCGCGCAACAACATTGTCAGAGACATTGTACAGAAAACCATCACTTGGAGATCGCATTATGAATCGACTAGTTGGTTTGCAGAGTTTGCATAAGTTGCATTATCGAATGTTTCAACAGACTTTAGGAAGATGTTTTTACAAAGCGACAGATGAACAGTTGAAAAATGTCTATACTGATTGGAATGAAGAGGTTATTAAAAGTATTCCTTCTGATCGTCTATTAGTATTCGACTCAAGTCAAGGTTGGAAACCATTGTGTGAATTCTTAGGCTTCCCTATTCCACCATCGGATATACCATATCCACATTTAAACGAAAGAAGCACAATGATCCAGTCAATTAATAAACTACAACGTCCTGGTCGGTGGATTAATCGCTTTCTGTGCATATGTCGATATTTACTAATACCGATGTTCACTGGCATTATATGCATGCGTTACGGTGAGGCAATTTATGAGATGGTGTTGTCAATGATCCCACTGCATCGTCCACATTTTTCTCAAAAATTTGATCATTAAACCACCATTGTACCTATTTCACACTGATCAATATTCTGCTACGTTATTTGAATCTATTCGTTTAGATTTGGTTCCATTACATTCTGTGACTGTCGATGTGTAATCATATGTAATCATATTGAAAAATAAAATATATTGAATACTTGACTATGTTATGATTAATACATTCGAGGTAATCGGTTGCGATGTTCGTTCACCAGTGAAAGGGTCGATTACCATTATACTTCATTTGAGTTGTATTTATCCACACCAACTAGCAGAACATCGAGATTCCAATGACTGACTTCAATCGATAAAGCTTTGAATGCAAGCAACTACTAGATATTTTCTTCGATTTGTTTTCAATCTATCCAAGGTCACTCTCTGATTTACGTTGGGTCTGTACTTCAACCATTGTTTAATTTACACAGAACGTGACAACAGAGAGGGAACCTGATATTATTTTTCATGTCCATTTATTTTTGCACCAACTTAATGCATATCAGCTGCGACTTGTTTCCGATTCCTAATTTATCTTCTTAACAATTCATAGTTGGGAATATAGATCGTCAAGTTGATTTGTTAGACGTTTTGGTATGAAATCAGCGTAGACATCTAACAACAATTTATGGTTAGAAATTCTTAAGATCATCTTTTTACGTTAATAAGTCTGTACTGCTCGTTGAGGGCACAGCTGAAAGTAATCCATTGTATTGAGACCTAGTTAGTTCACACCTCGTAGATTGAAGGGGAATCTAAGAATTTCTTATTTAGTTGACATAGACAAGAGAAGTGGTAGATTTATCTACACATACACACACCTGCATCATCATGGACAAATGGTGCACCCAAGGATTGACACACAGATAGCTAGCTGATTTGATTGGGAATGTGTTCCATCACTGGAGTTCTTTGATGCATTTAACTACGTGTCGGGTATAGGCATTTATCAAGATCCATGGCCTGAACTTAAATCTCAGTACTATATTTCAATAGGTAGTCTGGTTTCACCCCACAATTTACTTCGGTCGTCCAATAACTAACTTCCAATGGACACTTCTTTATTAATCTCTTTAACTTCAGCCAAACGATCAATCGTTATGTCAGATATAGTGCAGAAGAGGGATATTCACACGCATGAAGAGTAAACGAATTGTTCAAGTCTCCGAAATCAAGTGTTTTCTTGAAGAGTTTCGAAATCGTTTATGGCCTGAAAATGTTTGTTTTGTTTCTATCTGAGACTCCTAGTTAATATGAGTTTGTGGATGACATTCATGGTTCTTTATTTATAGACTTGAACTACAATGTCCAGATGTGATAAGCAGTTTGTAATCTTCATTTTTCCAGGTGACTTCTATCCTTGAACTTTACAGTTCACCGATTTTATCACTGAGATTATTTGTTTACCTTTTTCACTGTCGTTAAGTGTTATGAACCCCAACTATTTCAAATATAAAAAGCTCACTCCATCAAAATGAAGTTTATAAGCCTGTTCACTTTGTTAGTTCACACATTCTGAAAATACTTTTTCCCACTAGACAGATCTATGTTTAAACACTTGGAAGATCTAAAGAGCACAGAACAGGTACGACACTCTCGTGATAACACTCATTACTGATTTTGTTTATTTCTAGATTTTTCCACTGTTCCCTGAATTTGTGTATTTGTGTAATATTACTAGCTAATTATTAAGTAGTTTGGTTATATCTGCATAATTCTACGACCCAATCATTATGATGGGGGAAACTGGTCGGTTGCAGAAAACTTATTATCCTATACGTTTATTTTTTTATTTCAATGCGTCGATCAAATCTGTTATACTAATCGTCTTTTGTTCTTTACCTTTTTCATCATTTGCACCTATAGTACTACTTATTAGAACCTTGTTAATTTCTACTGATTAGTTTATTCTTAAAAACTGTTCTCTTAATCACTCCATTTGATTTTACTTCCAATAATTTAATTAAAATCTGGACACATTAAAAATCGGGAATTGTAGATATTTGGTATTCACTTCGGTTTCCGTGATCTCACCGTCTTTTGTTTCTCAAGTGTAAAGCAAATATATGATAAAAATATATTGATTATTACTAATATCAGTGTTGTTTGAAAATAGTTTCAGTTGAGGAATTAGTTCAGGGTTAGGGGACTATCTAAGAATATCGATCATTGAATACGTGTTTCACCCTTGTTCGAGGCTCATCGACGATGGGAAATCTTGATTCCACATAAGGTTGAAATCAGACCTTCAGTTCTTGTGGTGAGCACGATACTATCAGACCACTTGAAACTATTATTATTTTCCACATTTTTCAATCAAAATGCGGTTTGTTTTAGTCAGTATCAATATATGTTTAGTTAGCTCTCTCTCATCTTACTTTTTCCTTCGTTCTGAGAATAATATGAATTAGTAATGCAACTAATATGGACGTATATTTTCTGAGATTTTTTTCATTATATACTGACTTTTATATCATTGCATAACTGATATTTTTATCACGTTTTTCCGTTCTTCAGAAAAACTTATGATGAAGATCTTTGATCCAGACAAGGAAAGATATTTAATTTTACTAATGGTTACATAAGTTTGAGTTCAGTCAGATTAGTAGGGAACGGAATTTCACTTATTTCAGAACATGTCAGTGAAAGCGTTATTCTTGTACGCAGTTATATCTTATCATGACGAACAATTTTCTAGAAGCCCATATTTCAATTCCTTACTCATGTACTAGGATATCGAGTATCTGTAGTTTTGATTGTATTTTTCATTGAACTGATCATAATATGTTAAAATGTTTAGTCCCTATCTAGAAATCCATTACATTTCTTTTCTGATCTGAGAAATGAGAAATGCATAGTATGAAGCTTAACTTACACAAGATAATTATCTCAGTATTATATAATTATTATCACTTTGATGTTTGATACAACGTCTGTTTTCTCATATTCGATATATAAACAACAACAATGTTAATACAAATACTTCCATTTATCCTGTTCTAAATGCAGATACACTAATGTTAATCGTTACACTGTTAACCTCTTGCTAATACTATCAATGTATAATTAATAGCGATTTTAATGAGCTCTTATTTCAACTTTAGATATTATTCATTTTCGAAGCTAACTAGAACATTAAGTTGTACCCAACTTACACTTTCATAATGACCAATAAAAAGTTAAGAATTCAATGTTTTCATTTGTTACTGATTAACCTTAGACTATTTTTTTTAACAAAAAACCATCATAAATTATATGTGTTTATGAACTGGGAAGAAAAGATTTCATACATATACATACTTACTTACTTACTCACGCCTGTTACTCCAACGGAGCATAGACCACCGACCAGATACATAAACGTCATTGCATTGTTTTTTACATGTTTAACCAGTTTATTACAGTTTTTTCTAGTTTATAGTACATCGTATATTGTCTGTTTATATTATAGACAAATTAAGCGGAAACTTTTTTATAATGATTAAAAATCTATTAGTGAGATTTAAATTAAACCTGATGAATCACCTCATTCATTTAATATGCTCAAAATATTAATGCATGCACTCTTTTCGATTAAGTTCAAAGTCCAGTTAACATTAGAATAAAAATCATTTTATGCACTTACACCTCTTGCTATTGTATATTATCAAAATAATTCACCTAATGAAATAAGTATTTTCTATCTATCTTATAAAGTGATTTTTCGAAATTTGCTCTGTTCTGTTTCACCATCAATCTATTAATTAAAGTTCAATTTGTGAAAAGAAAAATGAGTAGGAAAGTCGGTTACATAATGTAAGAACCCTGTGATTAATTGTAACAGTAGGTGCTTCTTTACACTTTTTTGGATATGGAAATGTTTCTTATGTACCCATTTAAAATCTTTCTATTTTGTTGAATCAACAATTGTGGTAAATGTGTCTATTCAATGGAGGCAAAGCCCGACTAACAAGTCCTCGTCGTGCCTCCTGGATCATAGGAATGTTTTCATGTACTAACGTGAGCGGTAAAACGGATGGTGGAGATCGGCATAATCAGCCAATCTACCTATACCCACAAATGATTACGAAAGCTACAAAGAATCATTGCATATTTATTGTTGGTTCAAAAAGAAAGAAAGAATGAGTCTGCCCAAAAATACAAAAAGAAAGAAAGATGTAATGATTCTGCGCAAGCAATGCAAAAACAGCTATTGGGCCCCAGTAGTTTTGTCGTGCTTCGATGTAGCATTCCTCTCCAAAAGGGCCCACTAGGCTTCATCATGTTTATATGGCTGAAAGGGGCACCACAGGGGGTGTTTATTCAAGTGTTTGAATGATTTGTATACCTAAACAGGAAGTAACCAAACATGTTGAATTGATTCTAAAATGTTTGCAACGTTTCTCTATTGTACAAGAAGTGTTGTCATTTCTTCAGTACAATCTACTTGACATCAGACAGTTGTATCACTTTACAGCTAATGACATAAATACTTGAAGAACAACCGGCCTAAAATTCACTGTGGCAATGTTAGCTTCGGTTATTAAAACCCTTCACCGAATAAAATCCAGTAAGTCTTTGTAAATCTTATTTATGGGGTTTGTTCGGATAAAAAAAGTAATCTCTTAGGATGCGCAAGTTTAACCAACAAAAGCGATACATTTATTATATTGGTGGCTGTATTTCTAAACCATACGGCTGATCAAGGATACACTTTTACTATTGATTATAAATAATGTTATCTGACACAAATAACCGGAAAACGAGCTAATCAATCTTTCTTTGGGGCAAATAATTTGATTAGTACTTAAAAATTATCTGAGTTTCGTTACAATTAAGCGTACTAGATAAAACGACTCAGTTTCTACTTGAATGGGTGTATCCTTGTTATAAGAAAGTAATTAAAATGTAATTCCTCTCAAGTTAGCTGTTTTTAGTTAATGCGACCCGAAAGTGGAAGAATTCGACTTACAAGTGACTATGTAAATGTTGTAGTAGTTTGCAAATATTAAAAGAAACTTTCAAATAAGTCGAAATCAGGTTGACAAGTTCCAGGCTTTAATAAAACATCTACCCAAGAATTCAGATTAAAGTAATGTTTTACTGAAGTAGAATACCAATATATGTACATACATATCTTGAAATATAAAAGGAATGTATATAAGCTTAAGTGTCTATTTGACCGTTACATAAAATAGATTTCTAAATATTAACAGAATTATTCAATAAATGATTGAAAATTGACATACTTATGCTGTCCGTGAACAAAGATCTAAAAAGTTACACTAGATAGGTTTATATTTGTTTGCATTTAATAGTAACGGTCGTCGATTAAACGTTCAAGGAATAAAACCTTGGAAGACGGAATCTCCTGGTGAACACTAAGAAAGTAAACAAGACATTCGAAGATGTATATTTATATTACCAATTTTC